CCCTTTGAGTGCGCGTTGGCGGGCCGAGCGAGGCCGCCTCATGAGGCTCAGCACCCGGGCCAGCCCTGGGCAGCAAGCTGTGGGAACTGAGCGAGTGGGACGCCCGACCACCCGCCGAGGACAGCCGGGTGTCGAATGTCAGCTGCCGGTGTTTGATGGGCAGATGGCGCTTGATTGGGAGGGAAGTGCACACGCACCAGGTGGGATCGAAAGTAAGACCTCGCAGCCCCGGAGAGAAGCTTCGTGGGAAGAACAGAGGAAACCACCTTAGAGGAGGTCGACTTCTGTGCTGCACTGAGCCTGGAAGATTGTGTTTTATCACCTAAGTTTGGGAGAGTGTGTGACACCACCTATGAGCATTTATGGCCGCAGTGTATTTAAGAGAACCGCGCCTCAGCTTTTCTGCAGCTGCACTTAACGGGAGCAGCGCTACGACAGAAATACATCTTATGCAGTTGATGCAAACACATAAAAGAATGAAGCATAAGCCACTGAAGATAGTGTCTAACAGTGACGTGTAGTGTTCGCTTTAATAGGAAGAAATGAATGCTCCTCAGTGGACTGAAAACAGTCCCTGGATATGCTGGACTCCAGTGGAGGGATTTAAAATTAACAGCCTAACCACCTAATCTAAACCCCTCACTTGGTTGCAAGTGTTATCTCAAAGATTTAACGCCTTTCCAAGTGTTCTGATCACAGATATCACTGCTCCCTGCTGTCTTAACAGCTGCCCTGATTTACATATTCGTAGTTAGGCTCTTGTCTGTTTTGCCACCATTTTAACCTCACTCCTAGGATAGTTCCTGGCATACAGTAGGCATTCAAATAGGTATCACCTCACACACGGGGGGGGGGGGTCCAGGGAGAAAAAGCAAAAAGGAACAAAGGCTATTTCTGGAAAAGCACCAGAATGTTCCTTGGGTTTTCTGGCAATTTTTATGCATGTGTTAATTGTTTGGTAAACTGTATACAGTACAGTTTATTTCACTGAGTGGATTTACATCTTTAGAAACTTTTTGTTTTTAATTCTTTTTTAAAACACTCTTTCTTAAACTTTTTTTTAATGTTTATTTTTGAGAGAGAGAGAGAGACAGTGGGAACTGGGGAGGGGCAGAGACAGAGAGGTACAGAGAATATGAAGCAGGCTCCAGGCTCTGAGCTGTCGGCACAGAGCCCAACTTGGGGTTTGAACTCATGAACCATGAGATCATGACATGAGCGGAAGTCAGACACTTAACCAACTGAGCCACCCAGCTGCCCCCCAAAAAAACTATATACAGGTTTGAATTAAATTTAGTGTGCTCAAGTATGTTTCAGTATGATTTGGATCCAGCCAGCATTTTGGTCGTATCTTACTGAATAGTGTCCCCAATCACTATGGCTCAGTATATGCCCTGTTAAAACTCCTCTTAATTTTTATAAACTGGTAAACCTGAAAGATACGATTTTTGCCAACTGGACTTGTGGCTGCTATTGACTTTTGTTTTCTGCCATTGAGAATTTGTTTCAGTTAATCATCCCTCCTACCTTGTTCTACTGGGTAAATACCTAATATTCAACCTGAGAGTAGGATGTAATATTGGAGGTTGTAGTTAATGTGTGGTGTGATTACGAAGATGGAAAGCTGATTGCAAGAAATATGAAAGTAGCTTTCTCACTCATACTTGCATTTTTTTTTTCTCCATTAGGGATGCTGTGAACCCTGTGCCCAAATTCCAATATTTGGAATTCCTGTGGCAGCAGGTTTCATACAAGACCAAATTATCTCATTGAAATGAGCTTTTAAATGACCAATTTGTTAATGGTGTCCTTTTTCGTAGGCGAGCAAATAACCGGTATCTTACTCTGGTTTTTGGAAATGCTTTGAAAAATTCCATTGTTCCTATTCTGTACATTGGTAGCAAAAACGTAAAATAATTTAGTGTATTTTAAACTTTTTTTAACGTTTATTTATTTTTGAGACAGAGAGAGAGCATGAACAGGGGAGGGGCAGAGAGAGAGGGAGACACAGAATCTGAAACAGGCTCCAGGCTCTGAGCTGTCAGCACAGAGTCCGACGCGGGGCTTGAACTCACAGACTGTGAGATCATGACCTGAGCCAAAGTCGGACGCTTAACCGACCAAGCCACCCAGGTGCCCCAATTTAGTGTATTTTAAAGATGAACTTGTGGGGCACCAGGGTGGCTCAAGTCAGTTGAGCATTGGCTCAGGTCATGATCTTGTGGTTCGTGAGTTCAAGCCCCACATCGGGCTCACTGCTGTCAGCCTGTCAGCACAGAGCCTGCTTCAGATCCTCTGTCCCCCTCTCCCTCCCCTCCCCTGCTGGTGCTCTCCCAAAAAATTAGATATTTTAATGATGAACTTGTGCTTTGACTTATGTTTCTTAAAAATTATGTGCACTGAGTTACCTATGATATAATACATGTTCATTTTTTGCTTTACATTTACATTTATTCAGGTAGTGAGTTTTATAATTTATTAGGTCTATAAGGTAAAAATTTTAGTTAGATATAGACTTTAAAAGTGTATTGTCAGTTGATTAGCTGCTTTATACTCTTTATTGAATATCATTTACCCATAAAATGTCAACTTATGGAAAAATTTAGAAATAAGTGACAACTGAGCACCATTTTCCTGAGCAGTGGGGAGGAAACTATCATGAAAACACTACTAACAAGGCCATTTTTGTCTTTCCTAAGAATTAAATTGTGACATATACACTAACTGGTCCAATGTGTTACAGTTCTAGCTGTTGCCAAGCAACAAGGACTCTCTTTTGTTCTATTATTTTCTGTCCTCATCCCTTACTGCCCTATCTACTTCTTTTGGTGGGGAAAAAATATCTACCTTAAAAAAAAAAAAAAGAAGAAAACCTACTCTATCAACATTTAGAAAACCAAATCAACAACTTTAGGTTAGATTAACCAATCCTCAATTATTGGAAATAGTAAGTTTTATAGTAAAAGAGAAAGGCGTCATCAGAAGAGCTTCATTTACAGTCAGCCAAAATTCTAAAGAACATGGATATGGATTCACAGTGCACACCCAGAAAGATCAGTATTTCTGAAAGGTCCATCCTTCCAGGAGCAAAGGCTGTTGAGAACGTGGATTACCCGCACTACTGCGATCTCTTAAGAAAAATGAACATGCCTTTTGTGAAAGGCGTCGAGGACAGACATGACCATGGCAGAATTGAAAAGAAATGCAATCCTACTTTTCTTAAGTTTCACCCTTATCCCCCTTCAGTCATGCCAGACTATCATTTACACTATCCTTATCCCCCGCCATATGGGCAAGATTATCCACTATTTCCACTTCGGGATGATGTGCCCTTGGGTGATCCCTGTTCAGGGTTTTTGAGTCCTGGTGGTGATGCTGATTTAAAACCTGGCATTGGCAGAACCATACCAAACCTGGTGGATTTCAGTGACGTGAAACCGCAGCATCGAGTTCCCAGGCCAGACACAGGATTTCAAACAACACTGAAAAGGCAAACAATTTTATTAGAAGAACTAAAACAAGACAGGAGATGGGATTCCAGGGCAACACCGGACATTTCCATCAGAGCAAGACTTGGAGGTAAATAAAGTGGCATGGGCTTTATAATTTTTTTAATGTTTACTTATTTATTTTGAGAGAGCAGGGCAGGGGCAGAGAGAGAGAGAGAGAGAGAGAGAGAGAGAGAGAGAGAGAGAGAATCTCAAGCAGGCTCTGCACTGTCAGCACAGAGCCCTGACCTGCGGCTCGATCCCACAAACCATGAGATCATGACCTGAGCTGAAATCAAGAGTCGATGCTTAACCGACTGAGCCCCCCAGGTGCCCCTGGGCTTTATAATTTTTAAACATTCAAATGAGAGAGAAGAGCATGGATATAAGATTCAGTATTTTAAACTTAAAATCATATGGAATAAAGAATTCTTATTTTTTAAAATTATAGATGGTAAGGAAAAGGTAGTAAGAATGATAAGCCTTTTATAAACCTATTTGTAAGAAAATGTATTTTTAAATATATTTTTGACCGAGAGTGCGTGTGTGGGAAGTAGAGGGGCAGAGAGAGAGGGAGAGAGAATCCCAAGCAGGCTCCATGCTGCCAGCACAGAGCCTGACACAGGGCTTGATCCCACAAACTGTGAGATCATGACCTGAGCCGAAATCAAGAGTTGGATGCTTAATCGACTGAGTCACCCAGGTGCCCCTAAAAAAATGGCTTTTAAAACGTGCCTTAATTAGTATAAGTGGCCAACACAAAGTGTATTATCAGAGAATTTATTCTAGACATGTAGATAACCTAATTTTTCCACAAGGGAATGTATGTTTAGTTTGGATGATTGTATAGCATACCTCCTTATCTGTCTCTCTCCCTTGAAAAACGTCTGCTGATGGTTATGAAAGAGGTCCCAAGAACCAAAATGAAATGGGAAGGTAGTTGGAAGTCGATTTGGGGGTCTGGTAAGAAACAACCCTTCCGTAGCCCTGGATACAGAACTGACCCCTTACTAATAGCTATACACTTTATGGTTTCTCTGTAAGAACTCGCAGACAGTGTCACAGGCTTGGTGCAGAAACGGTGAGAAACACTTGCAAAACAAAGGCACACGGAGTAAGAAAGAGCAGTTCGGAGAGAGAGAAGTAGACGATAAGAGCTAGGCTTTTTCACGTGTGCTTCAGCTGTGGACTCAGCAGGCGGGCTTGGGGGAATTCTCTAGTTTGGCATTTCCACATAAAGAATATGAGTGAAAAAAGTAAAGAATGTGAATGAGGTTCCAGCAATCTATTTTAAGAAGTAAGTGTTTTACAATCCACTTGAAATGCCATCTAGACCGGAAGCTAACGTAATTTGCCCCGAACCGTTGATGAGTTCGGATCTGTCGTGCAGACAGAGGACATCTCACTGATTCAGAGCTAGTGACTATTTTTCGACTCTGTCAAGAAAAGAGCTTGAGCTCAATCTTTTGCTGATGCTTCCGTGTAAAATAATAGTCATTGTTAAGAATATGTTTAAAGGAATTGAAGTTGTTATAAGAGTCCTATTTTAGACAAGTATACCACTTTGCTTACAAGCAGTAAACCCCAGCCTAGTGTAAGTTTCAAGAGCCATATTTTTGGTTTGTTTCGTTAGGTTTTTCTAAGCTTGGACTCTCAGAACATTATTCCAACAAATTACACATTGAGGAAATAATTCATCGAAGCTAACTTAAAACTAAAATAGGATTAACGGACTTTGCACCAACAGTTCAGAACCAAGTATAGAACTCACTGCCCGAGTGAGTACAACAGAGTTCAATTGTCTGTCTAGGCTTGAATCCTAAGAGAAGGCTTACTTGCCCTATCATCCGGGAATAGTTGCTAATCTCTTTATGCCTGTGGATATACGTATAAATCACATACTAGTATTATTTAATAAGGTAATAATGAGGACTATTTAATATAATTCACATAAAGATATCTGACATGAAGGAATGGACGAATAAATGTTAGCTCTTACAAAGTCCAAAATTTTCAATTCCTTGGCAATAAGAGTACTTCTCTTATAAAATCATTAGGATTAAATGAATTAAGACATGTAGAGCACGAAACAAAATTCCTGGAACCCAGTTCAAGCATTCAGTTGATAGTAGCTGTTAATATTGGCTATTAGAGTTTCAAGGAGTAATACCGGCCAGCTGTGGACTGGGTTCGATATAATTTGTCCAAATTTTCAATGATTTTGTAGATCTTGGAAATAATCATTAATTATCAATAGTAAGTACTTTCAGTTTTTAGCAAACCCAAATACACATAATGTAGAATACATTCTGATAAAGGACATATTTGTAGAATTAATTATATCACACACCAGTACGCTTTTCAGTGGGCGTTCATAAATACCAAGACAATATCGTAAAAGATTATATTGCCAATTTCTTGCCTATTCTGACTTTGTCTAGACATTTAACTGGGTTCAATACTTTTTTGTTCCTAGCTGGCTTTCTTTATCATATACCAGTCAGGTATTCTAAACTTATCCTAATTATATTCAAACCCTTCATTGGTCTTTTTGCCTCTAATTACAACAGATGACACATCTTCCTTATCACAGAGAAAATAGAGGTTGCCTGTATCACATCTTTGACTTTCCTACATTCAGCTTCCTAATATCAATACTTCTAACTCCTTGTATATCTTATTACTTTTTTTAGCCACCGGCTTAGCTCAAGCTACTAAAAGAAAATACCATAGGATGTGTGGCTTAAACAAGACATGTTTACTTCTCACAGTTCTGAGGGCTGGGAAGTCCAGGATAGAGGTGCCAGCTAATTTGGTTCCTGGTGAGATCCCTTTTTCTGGCTTGCAGAGGACATGCTTCTTCCTGTTTCCTCATTTGGCAGAGAGAGAGAGACACCTCTGCTGTCTCTTTTTCTCTTTTTTTTTTTTTTTTTTTATAAGGATAGTAATCCTATTATGGGAACCACACCTTCGAGACCTTATCTAAACCTGATTACCCCCCCAAAGGCCCAACATTCAAATACCATCACACTGGGGGTAAAAGTTTCAACATGTGAATTTGGGGGGCATGCAAACCTTTGCTCTATAACAATCAACCATTTTTAAGTGCATGGTTTATTGGCATTAAGTACATTATTATGAAACCTTCACCACCATTCATCTCCTTAAGTCTTTTCTTCTTAAAAACCTGAAACTCTGGGGGCGCTTGGGTGGCTTAGTCGGTCAAGCATCCAACTTCAGCTCAGGTCATGATTTCACAGTTCTTGGGTTTGAGCCCTGCATCGGTCTCTGTGCTGACAGCTCAGAGCCTGGAGCCTGCTTTGGATTCTGATTCTGTGCCACCCTCTCTCTGTCTTTCCCTCCCACCCTCTCTCTCCCTCCCTCTCTTTCTCTCAAAAATAAATAAACATTAAAAAATTTTTTTTAAAAACCGTGAAACTCTGTACCCATTAAATATTAACTTCTTATCTCCTCCTCTCCTCCCAGCCCCTGGCAATCACCATTTTTCTTTCTGTCTCAGAATCTGGCTACTCCAGAAAATATACCTTTGTATGATTTTGGTCTTTTAAAATTTATGAACACTTGTTTCGTGGCCTACAATATAATCCATTGTGTAGAATATCCCTGTGCACTTGAGAAAACTGTGTGTTCTGCTTGGGTATTCTGTTGGCGTGTTCTGTATATGTCTTTTGGGTCAAATTGTTACTGTTTGAGTGCTCTGTTTCCTTATTGATCATTGTCTAGTTGTTCTCCCCATTATTTAAAGTTGAATGTTGGAGTCCCCAACTATTATTATAGAGTTATTTCTGCCTTCGATTCTGTCAGTATTTGCCCATGTACTTGGAAGGTCTGATGTTGGGTGCATATAAATAAAGTATAAAGTAGAAAACACAAGAACAGGAAAAATCAACTAAACCTTAAATTGGTTCTTTGAGAATGACAAAATTGACCTACCTTTAGCTATGTTGAGAAAGAAAATTCAGAGAAGACCACTACCAAGGATATTTTAGATGTTGAAGAAACACATCTCTAGCCATTAGAGGAGGAAAACACATGAATAAGAAAATATACAGGGGTGCCTGGATGGCTCAGTCAGTTGAGTGTCTGACTCTTGGTTTCAGCTCAGATCATTATCTCACGGTCATGAGATAGAGCCCCAAGTTGGGCTCCATCCTAAGCATGGAGCCTGCTTGGGATTCTCTCTCTCTCTTTCTCTTTCTTTCTTTCTTCTCTCTCTCTCTCTCTCTCTCACCACCCCCTCACTCATTTGCACACTCTGTCTCTCAAAATAACTGAATAAATATTTCCAAGAAAAAAAAGATAAAAAATATACGAGAATACTCCTTAAATATTTCTTTTAAGGTTTTGTTTCTTGGGGCGCCTGGGTAGGCTCAGTCGGTTAAGTGTCCAACTTTGGCTCAGGTCATGATCTCGTGATGGTGAGTTCGAGCCCCGCATCAGGCTCTGTGTTGACAGCTCAGAGCCTGGAGCCTGCTTCGGATTCTGTGTCTCCCCCTCCCCTCTCTCTGCCCCTCCCCTGCTCATGCTTATGCTCTGTCTCTGTCTGTCTCTCTCTCTCAAAAATAAATAAACATTAAAAAAAATTTAAGGTTTTGTTTCTTTAAAACCATCACATTATAGAAGTATTTTATGATAAAAATGATAGGTCCTATGGAAAAATACCATTTGTGGCAGGCCCCTCCAAACTCATACACTTTCATGTGTTGCACAAAACTCACAATGATCATATCACAGTCGCAGACATGTCCCATCTCTAACAAGGGAAGAGCTAATACAACATTTTCCTTGACAAGGGACTTGATACTTGTTTGGTGGCATGAAAGTGGTAAAATGAGACTATGCGTAATGAAGAAAAGGTGTGTGATTGCTGCTCCTGAATGTGGCCATTGGCAGCTCACCGCTTTCAGTGTGTGCCTGCCCTTTCCCGCACCAGGGCATGAGGTCTGTTTCTTGCCCACGTGGTCTCTGGGCTCTAGCCTACAAGACATCATTGGCAACCATGATGTAAGTGGAGCCTGACTTCAGGACTTGCACATTGGGATTAGTCCTCTAGGGATTCTTCCTCTGCATTCTCAGTGACTATTTTGTGACAAATCCAGCATGGGCCCGTAGGAAAAACAAACAAACGAACAAACAAACAAGGCACTGGTCAGCAGGCCTAACTGAGCTTCCACTGGCCAGCCATGTGAGGGAGATGATTTGGGACCGCATGAGCTCTCCCAAGCTACGCCACATGACATACAACGCCCGCCTGGCCTCAGAGCCCCGGGAGATGATGAATGGTTGTTTTAAGACACTAGGTTTTGGAGTGGTTTCTTCTGCAGCCACAGAGTGTGAAACAAGGTAACGGCAATGCCATCGTCTTACTTAGATGTGAGCGTAGCGACCCTGACGTGCGCAGCTGAGATTCATTGTCCTGTTTCCTGTCTCCTACTCTGCCTTAAAAATCACATTTTAGGTTTTGTTGTTTTCCTACTTTCCTCTTTGGTCAAAGCCGCTGCCTCAATGACAGCAAATTGGAAGGACACCACAGAGTGCCATCCTGCTGCGGTGGGCACAACGGTCTTCTGGAGGGTTTCCTTTGGCCAGCTGGGTGTCACCGACAGAATTATCCTTGTTCTCAAAATGGAAATAACCATGGGCTTCAGCACGACCTTTCTCACTTGGCCTTGACCTCCTGCCTCTGCCTCTGCCTCTGTATTGTCTCTTCCTGTGGTGACAAAGTGCCGCAAACTTAGCAGCCTGACAAACCCATTTATTAGCACCCAGTTTTGTGAGAAAGTCTAGGCAAGCTCAACTGGGTTTTCTTTCTTTTTAATTTTTCAATGTTTTAAATTATTTTTTTTAATGTTTATTTTTGAGAGAGAGAGAGAGAGCAGGGGAGGGGCAAAAAGAGACAGAGACACAGAATCCAAAGCAGGCTCCTGGCTCTGAGCTGTCAGCACAGAGCCTGACGTGGGACTCGAACCCATGAACAGTGAGATCATGACCCGAGCCGAAGTTGGACGCGTAACTGACTGAGCCACCCAGGCGCCTCTCAACTGGGTTTTTTATTCAGGATCTAACTGCTGAAGCCTACAGTGTCCAGGGAAAATCAACTTCAGGATCATTCAGTTTGTGCAGAATCCGGTTCCGGGCATCAGAGCTGTCACAGCCAGGGACACTCTGCTCCCTCAGGCTACCTGTGCTCCTCCTCACGAGGCCTCCTCTGTCTTCCAAGTCAGCAGTGGTGTGTCCAGGCCTTCTCAGACTCTAATCTTTCTGACTTCCCCTTTGTCAAGGTTAGATCAAGAGTTGTCTTTGGGGAGATAGTCTCAACTCCCCACAGTCTGGCTGGGCCAGTATCCTTCCTCCACACGCCCACAGAGCTCAGAGCCCAACTATCCTTATGGTTGCTACACGACACTGCAACGATCTACTTACATGACTGTCGTTGCTCTTTGTTCAGGAGCACTTCAAAACCAGGAACCCCCTCTTCCGTCTCTGCGTATCTATTTCCACTTACGGCGCAGTAGATATTTGTTGAAGTCTGTGTGTGTATTTGCTAGGGTCTTAGAACTTCTATCAGTTAGGTAAGTTATCTACATGGTAACTAGACTTCTTTGTGTGGCCACCGTCCCCAACCGCACACTCATCTGCAGATTCATGGTACCCAACAGGCCTCTTCTAGTAATGAGTGATACATACCAAGTAATTCCACATTGTTATAATTACCCTAAGATGGAAATTCAGCTCTCACTGCTGAGAAAAGTTGTTAGGTATTCCACCGAAACGTCAATTAACGTCATTTCTAATAGGAAATACTTCTGGCGGAAGAAAAGATTTCTAGTACATCTTTAAAAACCCAAAGTACATACATTTATTTTTTTTTCAGGTTGGACAAGCCCACTGAAAGTTACTCCTTTACCACCTCGTCACGAAGCGTGCTCAATAAATCACACATATGTATTTGATGAAGAACCAATATGCACGGTAAGATTGTCTTATGGGATGGGGTTACACAATATTTACAATTCATTTCATTGTCTGTGTATTTGATATTTTATGCCCTGGAAAAAAAAATAGCTACTGTTTATAAAGTACTTCTTACGTGCCAGGCACCGTGCAGCCCTTCACAATGATTGTGTGTCATGTGTTATCGTTTGTCGTCCTGTAGCAATACTGTGGGGGAGGAGAGAGCAGGAAATGCTGATAGTGCCCAAGCCAGATGCCCTTTCCTGACAAGGGCACCCTCCTCCAGTAGCCATGAGTGGTGGCCACCAAATGCCTGACGGTCACCAGCCTGGAAGACCGCACCCTCCTACACGGTCTCCTCAGACTTTGGCCAATGGCTGACTGACTTCCTAGAGGAAACACACCTGAAACTAAGCAGGGTCCACATTCTCACTAACCTCCTGTCCCCTAGGGTGCTCCGACAGTGTATTACTTGAGTGAAAATCTTGCTTCCATCCCTGCTTCTGGATAAGGCAGTATTGTTATCCCCACCTTACTTGAGAAAGCTAATGCCCAGTGATGTTACATAACTGATTTTTTAATTTAATTTCAAGTTCGTTAACATACAGTGTAGTCTTGGCTTTAGGAGTAGAACCCAGGGATTCATCTCTTACCTATGACACCCAGTGTTCACCCTGAAAAGTGCCCTCCTTCTAATGCCTGTCATCCATTTAACCCATCCCCCCACCTGCCTCCCCTCCAGCAACCCTCAGTTTGTTCTCTGTATTAAAGAGTCGCTTACTGGGGCGCCTGGGTGGCTCAGTCGGTTAAGCGGCCGACTTCGGCTCAGGTCATGATCTCACGGCCCCGTGAGTTCGAGCCCCACATCGGGCTCTGTGCTGCCAGCTCAGAGCCTGGAGCCTGTTTCAGATTCTGTGTCTCCCTCTCTCTGACCCTCCCCTGTTCACCCTCTGTCTCTCCCTATCTCAAAAATAAATAAAATGTTAAAAAAATTTTATATATAAAAAAAGAGTCTCTTATTTTAACTGCACACTAAGTATGAAACCAAAGTTTAAACCTGGGTATCTTTCTGAATTTAATGATTATGTTATTAATCATTTTTCCATGTGGATTTTATTGGCTCTAAACTCTTGCCATTTAAATGACTGGAATACTACCCAAGGGATATACAGACAGCTCAAGGATTTTTCTTTTTTTTTTTAAAAAATAGCTTGGGGCATCTGGGGGACTTAATTGGTTAAACATCCGACTTCAGCTCAGGTCATGATCTCACAGTTCTTGGGTTTGAGCCCTGCATCGGTCTCTGTGCTGACAGCTCAGAACCTGGAGCCTGCTTTGGATTCTGTGTCTCCCTCTTTCTCTGCCCCTCTCCTGCTCATGCTCTGTCTCTCTCAAATATAAATAAACATTAAGAAAAAAATTAAGAACAAAACCCAGCTCTATTGAGACATATTTCATATACCACAAAAGTCATCCATTTAAAGTGTTCAATGTTTTTTTATTTTACATTTTTAAAAATTAAGTTTAGTTTTGAGAGAGAGAGAGAGAGAAAGTGTGAGTGGGGGAGGGACAGAGAGAAAGGGAAAGAGAAAGAATCCCAAGCAGGCTCCGCACTGTCAGCACCAGAGCCTGATGTGGGACTTGAACCCACGAACCATGAAATTATGACCTGAGCTGAACTTGGACACTTAACCAACTGAGCCACCCAGGTGCCCTAAAGTGACTGATGTATTTTTAAAGGTGCTCACGAAATGGAGCAACGTCACCACAATCTAATTCTAGAACATTTTCATCTCCTCAGAAAGAAACCCCATAGCCATTAGAAGTAAAGATGTGAATACTTCTAAGGAATCAGTGTCCATTTCCATGACCCCCATATGTATTCCTTTCCACAATTGTTCTCTGCTTGTGGATTTATCTGTAACTGTCGTGTTAGATTTAGTTCTACTTTCCCCATGTCTTCCTTCACGATTGCGCAGACTGATTCGACCACAGAGGGGATTGGGGCACACGTCCCACAACTGCCAGTTGTACCACAATGAGTGGCGAAGGAACCAAAAGGGTCCCTCAAAATCTGTATCATCAGTGCCTCGTTTATCTAGATGCCATCCAGCCATGCCGGACTTCCTGCTTTTCCTTGTCTATAGACTTTCTTTATAAGAAAATCTTGCCTTTAGAAATCGGGGTAGGGGCGCCTGGGTGGCTCAGTTGGTTGAGCGTCTGACTTCAGCTCAGATCATGATCTCGCAGCTTATGAGTTCGAGCCCTGCATCGGGCTCTGTGCTGACAGGGCAGAGCCTGGAGCCTGCTTCAGATTCTGTCTCCCTCTCTCTCTGCCCCTCCCCTGCTCATGCTCTGTCTCTCTCTTTTTCTCTCTCTCTCTGTCAAAAATAAATAAACATTTAAAAAAAAAGAAATGGGGGTAATTTGGCCTGTTTTGAGCCATTCTAAATTCAGATAAAATGCAGAATGTGGTTGAAAGGATAAAGAAAACTTGTACTTACTAGTTTCACTCATTCCATCTCCAGACTTTTCAAAGAATCCATTGCTCCTGTAGGTAAGTCCTTTGAGAGCAAATCAAAGTAAATATTTTAAGAAATGAAAGGCATTGGTGCCTTTTGTTTTTCATTTAAGCTGCAAATTCATGGCAAGTCTCCATGTTTTATCTAGTTATCTATTTTAGAATTAGACTACTGAAGTAAGTGCTTGTCATGTAAAGGCTTATTAGCATCTTTATTTAAATTCAAAATAAGTTTCCGGGCGCCTGGGTGGCACAGTCGGTTAAGCGTCCGACTTCAACCAGGTCACGATCTCGCGGTCTGTGAGTTCGAGCCCCGCGTCGGGCTCTGGGCTGATGGCTCAGAGCCTGGAGCCTGTTTCCGATTCTGTGTCTCCCTCTCTCTCTGCCCCTCCCCCGTTCATACTCTGTCTCTCTCTGTCCCAAAAATAAATAAACGTTGGAAAAAAAATTAAAAAAAAAATAAATTCAAAATAAGTTTAGACTTCTTCTCGCAGAAAATAAATCTGGATATTTTATTTCCAGTAGTAGAAACTAACCAGGTAACATGGGGCAATACTTCTAATAGGAAACAACTAGATTAATATTTCGCTTTTATTAAAATATCAAAAAGCTAATAAGGTAGAAGTGATTGGGTCAGCAAAAGGATGGAAACTTTAAAATGTAAGCCTAGCACTCAGGGCCACTTTGGCCATACAGGAATTTGCCATTCTAGAAGGGAAAGCTAAAACTCTGAGCCGGATCTTTGGTGGTCTCAGAAGTATAAAAGATCCAAAGTTGGAACTGATCTCTGAAAACAATCCACTGCTTTGGGAGGAATACCTGGAGGCTGGTTTCTTAGGAAAAGGATACATCAATAGGAAAAAGCCCTTAACCAGACTAAAGCCTGGCTTGGTCTGAGTAAATGAGAAAACTCTAAGTCTTGAACTGGTATCGAGGTGATCTTAGATTCTTATCATTCCCAGGATGCAGGCAGACAGAAACAAAACTTCTCTGGAGAAAGATAATATGTGACTAAGCCTTAAATTATTTCCATCAATAATGTTTTAAAATGTCCAGCATACAATCAATAGTAATCAAACACGTAAAGAGAAAGGGCACCGTGAATTAGAATCAGCAGAATGAAAGAAAACAGAAAGACACACATTGATTCTAGACATTGAAAATATGCAAGGAGAGAAAAGGTGAGTCCAGAATTTTTGTAAAGAAATTAAAAATTACGAAATGGGAAATTAGGAAATTGAGGGGAAAGGAGTTCCAGAACTGAAAAATATCATAAACAAAGAACAGGGCAAGTGAGCACAGTAGCTGATCTGACACTGGTGGAGAGAATTGGAGAGCTAATAGGTAAATGAGGAGTCACCATTCATGATAAAGCAAAAATGCACAGAAAAATGGAAAATACGAAGTGAGAGTAAGAAACATATAGGAAACAGTGAAAAAGAGGAACGTGTATTTATTTGAAATCCCAAATGTATAGATGAATAGGACAGAAGCAGTATGTGAAGATGTAACTACTGTATCTACCGTGTGCCCATTTCTGGGGGGTTCCTGGAGGGTGCCCTCATGTTCCCTGCTGTACATGGAGAGTTAAGGCCCCGCACAAGCACCAGATCCCACAGCAACAGCTTGTCAGTGTTCCTCCCAGCACCACGGCAAATGGCAGCCCAATTTTCAAGACAGAGAGATCCAAAACATGGAAGACACAAGAATGGAAAGAAATAGGAAATTCCTGAAAATTTTGTTCGCATTGTTTATGGTAATTGCATTGCTCAGAATCTGGACCTCAGCAGTCCTTTTTTGTTAGCTCTTGTGAAATTTGAAGGAATTCTAGGAAGTTGAGGCATTTATGATGTTGACAGTGATGAAGGATCTTAATGCAGATGAACAATGCTGAAGTATTAGGACATAAAGGAACATCTCCTTCAATGTCTTGTCATAGAACCTAAGAAATATCTAGCATTTGTAGAGAAATTTCCATTGAGTCAGACTTCAAAAACACTGATGAATTCAAATAGGAAATGTAGTCCCTTCCTTACGAAACAGTACACACAAAACATGCAGAGAATAGAAATAGAAGATTCACCAGCAAGAGAAAAGCTCCTATAAAGATTTGCTTTGACGGGCGCCTGGGTGGCTCAGTCGGTTGAGCATCGGACTTCAGCTCAAGTCATGATCTCATGGTCCATGAGTTCGAGCCCCGCGCCGGGCTCTGTGCTGACAGCTCAGAGCCTGGAGCCTGCTTCGGATTCTGTGTCTCCCTCTCTCTGCCCCTCTCCCACTTGTGCTCTGTCTCTCTCTCTATCAAAAATAAATAAACATTAAAAAAAATTAAAAAAGAAAGATTTGAGAAAACCGTGTAAACAATAAACTTCAGGATCTGCAAACGTTTCATAAAGAAATTGAAGATATATAACATATTGAAATGGCAGCTTATAAGACCTATCAGGAACTGGAAGCGATGGGTTTTAGAGAAAAATCCAGATTCCAATGAAAGATG